AAAAACGAAATTATATTTGGTTACTATATTTAACAACGTTCTTTTAAATTGTATAGGTAATATCATGTACTCGTCAAAAAAATAGCAACTAGGTACAATTTGAATGAATATAATATTGTAATTTTATAGTAAAAATTACTATATATGACAGCAGGTACTGCTAAATATATAAAATAATTAAGTATAAAATTTAGTTACGAATACTTAATTTTATAGTAGTGGTTATTACGAGTTATAGCTCAATAAACTGTTTATTATAATAAATTAAATTTCTGCTGCAGTGATATGAATTAAACCTTCCACTTCTAACTATTAGAAATTGTAGTGTGTACTACTATAAAAACTGTTTGGACAACCAAATAAAAATATACAGTGAACTATGAAATTTTAGTAAAAATTACTTTATTTTCTAGTAACAATGACTATAATAACTTAACTAAAACATTATAGTAAATCTCACTAATATTATAGCTATCCCTATAGCAATTATAAAATACTGTTAAATCTACTATTTTTATTGTGGGTTGGACTTGTAGTAATACAGAAAAGGATAAAATATTGGATGAACTTTAATAGTCCTAAAAGTGAATTTCTTTAATTCTTACCTTTATTTCACTTCTCGTATAACATACAGATCTTGAATTGAAAAATATTTTAAAATAATTGAACACACTTATGAATATTTAAAACTCAGATATGATTGACAAGTCTCGTCAATACTTCGCAGGCGTACAATAAAAAACGTGTTAATCTTCTTTGTATGGTGACCAGTAACCGATCGACGCTCTTGCTGGCGAGACAGGCCTATTTATGCCCTTTGGAGTATTAACAAGATTGCCCTTCATACCGTCATTTATTGATAATTATTATAATTGTTTTTATAATTTTAGAAAATGTCTTAATATTAATAGTGTAATATTTATGATGTTATCTTTTGACATTTGTTTGATTATATTGTGTGATGCTAGCCGACATCAATTGGGAATATGGAGGTGATTTTGATATAAATGAAATGTGTTCATTAAATAATTATAATGTAACTATCCGATGGTTTATTGTTGCCGCTTTAGACAATTATTTATTTTTGATAGAATTGTTATTAAATTAAATGTCAAAAGATATTATTATATAATTAAAATTAATTTAATTTACTAATTATTAATAATATTATACATATGAGTAATATCACTAATGTTATGTTTTACAATGTATAACGAAACTCTCGTTCTTTTTCCTTATATGCTTCAATCGAATCCATCGAATATGGACTCATTGGGTTCGTCATTAAGTAAAACGTACCTCCCTTTCTGTGAAAAAAAATGTTGTACCGTTAAATTTTTAATTAAAAATCTCATCCTCACACCCTTACTCTTAGTTTTTTTTTATTTTCATATTAGTATACATAATAGTTATGCGAATAAAATAATATTTACTTTGTATTTACATGATGACCCATATGGTTGGTGGTGCGTTCAGAGTTCTCTAAATTTTCAAAATGTTGGTATGATTTACTTAATGTACTTATAAAAGCCGATTCATTATTTATCGATTCAACGTAGTATTCATAAGATTTTGCATCACTGCAAAACACTGAAAGACAATCATTAAAAAATACTGATTAATAAATCAATGGTTTAACATAATTTCGTTCCACAGAAATGTATATATATATAAAAAAAATTGTAGACAAATACAGTGAAAAAAAAATTCGTTCAGTTAACAACATTTATATTTATTTCATTTGTAATTGTTAGTTGCCCAGGGGATAGCTATAAAATTCGCTAAAGTTGCTAATAGAATTTAGTTGAAAAACGTTTGATGTAATAGAAATAAGCATTGTTATTGAATTACCTATAAATAAATATAATATCACTTATTACATAAAATAACTTGTTCTGACTGACTGATTCATTATCGCCTAGCCGGAACCACTGTTGCAATGAGGATGAAATTTGGTCTGCAGTTTTTTTTCACGATGTAGAGGCCCACTAAAAAAGTAATTTTCAAAATCCAACGCTTAAATAGTTTAAAGGGTTGAAAGGTGTAATAATGGAGAAAATGACCCAGCAGAAACCCCTGATTTGGTCAGTAGTTTTTTTTGATGACATACTGACTTACAAAGAACTTCTTCACAAAATTCAACACCAACAATTCTGTATTTAAATTGCCGTAAAACCTAATGAGAGTAGAGAAACCTATATGCAATATTAATAGATTTATGAGTGGAATAACTGTGCTGTTAGCAGATTTTTGCTAAATATTATAAGTAAGGGTTATAAACGCTGATAAAGTAAATCTGTGCTTATTTGTGGCCACATACAGTACTGCTAGGATTTTCGCTAGGCTATCATTCAAAATAAGAGACGGACATTTCTCTACAATGGATGTTGTGATCGCTATTCTTTAACTAATTTGGGTATAGCTGTTAGCTGTTTATAAGATCTAACTTCTAGAATGAACCCTGATATTATTAGCATCAAGGAGAAACCGGTGGCGTTTTGGGACGTGTGGCAAGTGAGGCGGTTCCTCAATTAAAAATTTGGTAAGAGATGAATGTTTTGTTAAACAAATAACATTAAATTTATTATTTATTTAATTTGTTCAATTTATTAATTGAAGGATAACAAGACAAAACGTGTTATTTCCAAAAAAGTCAATTTTCAGAAAACACATTTTTCTGTTTCACCCATACTCAAAGTGAAGTTATCTTAGATTTTGATTGTTTCGTATGGTAAAATAATCCTACAATTTAATTTTTTCAATTAAATTAAAATTAATATACATTATTAATACAGGGAGTTCGGCTCAATATAATTGCTGGTTTATAGAATCATTTATTTATTAGAATCAAAAATTAAAATCTCAAATCAAATCGTATATTACTAATGTAAAATTGATTTTATTAGAATCACCAAGTACCGGATAATTGAATCAATCAATTTTAGATGAAGATTTAATGTCTTCCGGAGAGACAAAATTTACTGTCCAAGCTTTCGGATACATAGTATTAAAAATTTTAAATCAATTTAGTATTAATTTAAATTATTGTGTTAGCTTAGAACGGATGTAAGTTATGACTTTAGAAAGTAATGGAGCTGTTAAAATAATGTTATTTAGTAAGATGTCCATTAGAGTGGCACACACTTAAATAGGTGATTTGTATTTGTATTTTTTTGTTTGTTTGATACTTTAATACTTTTTTTTTTTTTTACTATAAAAATACTTATTTGAAAGTTTGGTACATATTGATAAATATTTGAAGAACGTTCAAGGCATTTCAATTTTGAATGTTACAGATTTTCCTATTTTTATGCTATACCTAGATAGAATTATGGTAATGTAAGTAATAGAAATACAACATTTCTTTAAATATTTTAATAGTTAGTTGCTCAATCGATTGGACAACATATTACTGACATTGCTTTGAACAGAGAATCTATACTCTTCGTATCGATGTCACCATAGAGAACAAATTGCTGCAGATATAAAATGGTCATTCGATCCATCCGTTTCACTAATAATTCATTGCGACGGAAAAATCTGACGAGCTTTAACAAAAATTCGAAAACCTGGGACTTGTCATCGAGCTAGGTGAATGGCCAAGATAATATATTGTTTAAAAATGTTTTTATTTCGGTTGCAATTTGAATTAAAAAAAACGGAGGTATTGAATTTAAAAAATTTTACATTGTTTATAATTTGAATATATTTAAAAGTATGGTATACTTCTACAGATGCTTCAGGTGCACCATTGAATGATTTAAATTTCTTAAAGTATCTGAATAAGTACGGAAATTCAAGTAATGGGATCTATAAATTAGCATTAAAAGTATTTTCAGGACATTTATGATATCTTAGTGATACATTAACTGGCTTAGAATTTCTTGACTTTCGAGTTTCAGATGATATTAAACTCAAAATAGTAAAAAATTTTGATAAAATTGGGACAGATAACCTTGACCATAGAGTAAA